TATCAGATGCAGCAATTTGTTTTTGAATTCCTTCCAATCTCGCAAGGAGCCTTTTCTTTTTTGAGTGAACATTCAGAAACACCTCTTTGTTCCACTTGCTAAGTGTCCTCTGCAATTCACAAGTCTGTCTGTAGCCACTCCTGCTCTTCCTTAGCCTTGCTTGACTTCGTTTTCAAAGGAATCATGCATAAACCAGGCAACCTCAAATCGAAAAGGGTGCTCTCCTCTTCTTTCATACCTTTCCATGCTCAAAAGAATAGGGTGATGATCCGAACAACCCAGTCTTGCCAAAACTTTGACAATCGCCTCCGGAAATTTAATTTTCTAATCAGCATTGCAAAAGCCCCTATCAAGGCGCTCATACACCCTTTGATAACCATGAATAAGGGGTCCTTTCCAAGTGAATTTGTTACCACAAGATGCTACTTCTAACAAACCACATTTGTTAATTCTGTCTTCAAAAGTATCACATCTTCTAGAGTTGATAGGAGCTCCCCCTTTTTTCTCATGAGCTCCTCTAATATCATTGAAATCTCCCAACACCACCCAAGGCCCCATTACACTCCTTTTCTATTCTCTCCATATTCCTCCAGAAATCTTCTTTCTCTCTGTCTCTTGGAGCCACATAAGCAAAGACAATATGCCATGGCTCCTCCCCATCAAACTGGATTCGAAACAATCCATATTGCTGTCTTTTTTCTAAACACGTTAGGCTGACCCTTGACTTGTTCCAGGCCACCCAAATTCCGCCTACAAATCCTACCCCCTCAATGGCTTCCATGTCCATAAACCCTAAACTTCGAAAGAAATTTTGGGCATTTCTCGCAGGTACTCTAGTTTCCATGATACTGACAATCTCTGGTCTCTTCATCTTAATCATCATTCTCAGATCCCTCTTCACCTCCTTTCCTCCTGCACCTCTACAATTCCAAGCTAGAATGTTTTTATTCATGTTCATTAAGAAGGAATCAAAAGATTAATCAACCCGCATCTCAGCACTCTCCTCCACTGCTTCCATAAACAACTCATCATTATCTCTTTCTTTATCTGGCGGCTTCCCCCCTTCTTTATCTATCCAAGCCTCCTTGCTCTCAACCCTACCCTCTCTGAGGCTTATCACATTCGGATCTAGTTCTTTTAAATAACCCCTCTCTTGCTTCCCCTCCTCGCCTTGAGGGGCTTCCCTCACATCATCCCCTTGTGTATTACCTTCCTTTCCACTCTTATCTAACCACCTATTTCTTGCCAATACCGTGTTCACAGGAACAATTACCCTTTCACCACTGTTACTCTTCCACTCCTCAACCACTTCTTCCCACGTTCTATTGTCAACTGTTCTATTCTTCCTCTTTCCCTCAGTGGCAACCAAGGAAACAACCAGACTTCTATCATTTCCCACTACTTCCTCCATCCTGTCCAGCTCCTCAACCTCCAACCCATTAAATCTGGATTGACCAGCTCCAACTCCCCTTGAAGAGACAAAACCTCTTCTCTCCATTCCTGCTCTCCTTGGCCCCCTCCTTTTCTGGACTAAAGTCCATTCTCCATAAAGGCTCCTAGATCTATCCTGCCCTTTGCATTCCTCCATTCCCTCATTCATCTTACTCGTTTCCTCCACTTTGTCTGCACAATCCTTCTCACTGTGCCCATACATGCCACAGTGATAGCATAGGGAATGTAAGCCTTCATATTCAACATTAGACTCCCTTCCTTCAATAAGAAACTGAGGAAGTAGAGGTTTAGACAGCTCTACCTGCACTCCAATTCTTGCAAATTTCCCTCGGGTCTGCATCAGTGTAGTTGCGTCAACCTTGACTGTTTTGCCTATTTGATGCCCAATTGCCTGCAACACAGTTTCCTCATAACATTCTAGGGGTAGATCTAAGAGTCTAACCCATACCAAGACCTCTTCTAGCACCTCCGTCAACAGGTTAAAACTACCTCTCCACTCCCTTACAGTCAAGTAGTGATCTGCAATAAGCCAAGGGTCCTCACTCAAGGCTCTATGGTAATCCTCCCAGTCGGGGAAATTTACTACAAAGAAATCATTCCTTAGATCCACCACTAAAACCGTTCCTAGTTTGCCCAAAGACTCTGCAGCTTCATCTCCATCGATCGCAAGCTAAGTCTCCACCCAAGTAATTGACAATTAGACTTTAGCAAACGGCTTCCTAAGTTTCTTCCACCCCTCCTCCGAAAACCAGTTCAGGAATCTTCATATTCCCCTTTAAATGATGCACAATTGTAATGCCGAAGTCATCTAGACCTTCTTCCTCCATCTGATCCGTCTCCAATTCCCCCTACTCTCACCCTTCAATTTATTAGTGTAGGAGACAACAGAGCCATTCTGCTCCTTAATCCTGACCTTCGCACCTCCTCTCATTTCTTTGTTCTCTGCAGTAGGTCCGATTTATCCGCCGCTTGACATTCATGGAGCATTGGAAAGTCCGCCAAGGTCAGAGCACGGGAGTTCGCCATTCTTGATAAAGACGTGTTAAAACTACCATTTTGATAGAACCTTTAATATGTGCAACTATTACAAAGACTATTTTGAAAAAATAGATAAATACGAGAGACAAAATAAATTAAATAATATCAAACTAGCTTTATATTAAAAACCGAAGTACTATTAACAAAAGTTAGAGGGTAAATAGTTGGCATAAAAAAAGTTTTTTGGGGGGGGTAAATGATGGATGGAATGACACTTTTTTTTTTTTTCCTTTCTGCCAATTTCTGCCAACCAGTAGAATAGCACGTTTTAATTTGATTGGAAAAAAGGCATATTAAGTATATATAAATTTATAAAGTATATAAGTTCTTTGTTAATATAAATTTTAGTCCCCTAAATTTAGGCCTATTTTGGTATTAGTTCTTGGAATTTCAAACGCGTGGTATTAGTCTCTGAAATTATGTCTGTTTCAAACCGTTAGTCCCTGTCCCTGAACCCTTGACACCATTAAATTCTTTTGAGATAGCATTAACACCGTTATATGAATGAAAAATGAAGGACAGCCTCCCCTATTTTAGTACCAAAAAACAGAGGCATTTCCATATCTTATTAAAATGTTGTTTTTAGCATATGGAATTTTGTTGCAAACTAGTTTTAGGAGCCTCATATTATTCATTATCATTCTTTATTTCTAGAAGCGTCCCACCAACCATTAACGCCGGCAATATGGCGACACCGTCATCATGATCCACTATAGCGGTGTTTCTTTCTTTGAAACCAGTCAAGAATCGGGTCAGAATTCTCTCCATATAATTTACTTTGTAGATTGTTTCATTAAGGTATAAATAGCTTAGTATGAGAAGATCACCTAGGGTGGCTTCTTCAGGCTGCGATCCTATCTTCTTCTCCAGCACATCTTTGCCCGATTAGGAAACATCCAATCTTTCGGTCATACAAAAAGATGCCTAGTTGTTGTAGAGGACCCAGGGCTCTTCTCCAGGGGCAGATTTGAGAGTATAAACTCCATCAGCTCATTTTGTTCAGCCTCTACAACTATAGACAAGGACAACGATGATGACGACATTAGTGATCTTTAACTCAGACTTGAGGCACTTGGAACATAGTTCTTTGCATAAAACATGAGGCAGCTCTCTGTATATCTGGGGTGGCATGAGCCAATAAGAGAGGAGAGCTTGCTTAGATATGATGTTAAAAAACAAAACACAATGTAAATAAAGCAAGAACCATACCATTGTTTAGCAACAACATTATACCCACGGACGAAATCATTTGAACAAATAGCAACACAGAGAAATCATATACACAGTTTCTTAAACTTCATACCAATGGGTTCAATAGAAATAAATCAAAACAGAGCACCCGCAAACACTGACCACAGAAGCATTTAAAGTGAAATATTTACTCAGTTAAACTCAAATGCATAATACAACCCCAATGTGATGACTTTTTCAGATAGAATGCTAGATGAAGACGAGGAACATTTCAATCAATATATTCACAGGCTCATCTTTCCACGAAAATTGCAGCACTTACCTTTCAACACAAATGGTTCGAACACAATGCTAAATGACGGTTTGTAGAATCTTCGTCACCTTTCAACGAAAAGAAGCAAACAAAAATTACTCGTACACCGTCTTCCCACTACGCCAGCGACGGCCATGTCAGTAATCGCCGGCACTAAGTGGGTCCTCTTGACTTGACCCTTTCCCTTTTGTTTTTTCTTCAGGCGTCTGTGCGTGTGGGTGTGTTTGGCTCTATTGTGTGCGTCCGTTTTGCATCTCCTGGTGGTTACTTTTTCTTTCAACTCTGTTCAGGTCATCAAGCCACCTATGTGTCCACCTCATAATATAACGGTGTTAATGCATCTCAGAAGAATTTAACTGTTTTAAGAGGCCATGGACCAATGATTTGAAACAAACATAATTTTAGAGACCAATACCACACGTTTGGAATTCCAGAAACCAGTACCAAAATTAGCCTAAATTTGAGGGATGAAAATTTGTAGTAAACCTTTCTTTTAAAATAGTGTCCATTGTCCCACGCAACAACATGTGATAAATTAAAAAATACAGTATTTTAAATATTATTCAAAATTACGAGGACAACTTTATATAATATGTTTAATTTGTTCAATATTATTTAAAAAGTGATTTATAAAACCGATGATTTTAAATATCGTCGTTCATTTCACAGATGCATGATCCATCAAAAGCGAAGTACTGGCTCACTCGGGTCTCGTGTGGTTTATGCTCTGGCTAAACCATATTGGCATGGGTTCTAGCTGGTAGCTTCTATCAAAAGCAAAGTGAAACAAGTTAAAATCTTCGCCCGTTTGGAACAGCTTAGCTTTTCAATCGTGATTTATAAAATATAAGATAAATATATAAGAGAAGTTTTGTCTTGATATAAGTAAAATGTGTTTATAGGTGCTTTTTAAATGTTATCCCAAACAGGCCCTTCATTTGAACTCAAAATGAAGCCACATTGCTACAATTCCTTTACATGTTGCAGAGTAATTCTCTACATTATTCTACAAGTTCTTTAGCTGCAGCAGAAACAACGTAACAGAAGCAATGACAAAGAGAGTATGGTTGTCAACGTTGATGCCACCTTCCTGCTCTCTGTGCCGCTTGATCTCACACCTGAACCAGAAAATGGTCGTTCAGATGGACATGACTTGCCCGATACGCAATTACCTGTCACACTGATACATTGAAAGAATCATATTAGATTAACAGCTAACATGCAGAGCAAATGATGATCCAGAAAATGGAGAGAGAACGCTAGAAAAGTTCTGCAAGAGAGAGACCATGGTATAGATAAACTCACATTAGTTTTAAGTTTTTATTTTGAGATAGCGATTTGGGTATGGTTCCACTGAATCTATTATCTGCTAAATTCCTGGTGAAACATAAAGAAGTAATATCAAAGCTTGTTTCAAGCTGGAAGTACTGCATTATTTGCTTGTGGTATTGGTACTCACAGCAATTTCAGTTTTGGCAATGAACCAAGAAAGCTGGGGATTGGTCCAAACAAGCTGTTATTATGCAAATCACTGCAAGTCTTACAGAAAACCAAAACATCAGGACACAGAGGCTACATGAATCAGAGTCTATATTTTGGTGTTTCATCCCTCAACTCACATTGTCTCAAGTTCAGTCATAGAACTGAGGTCTGGGAGCATTCCTGATAAGCCAAAGCTTCCAAGATTCCTAGTTTCAGGGCAAATACAAAAGGCAACACCGTTTGATCACTCAGCAATAAGTTACTTCAATTAGGCCAGATACACAAAAGATGTGCAGAAACACAGGTCAATCATAAAGGTTGGCACGTAAGCATGGCATGGCACCTTTCATTGTGACATACCTTGTAATCTAGCATGCTTTCATTCTGATTTATTAACAACTTGGTATAAAATTTTTTTAGTAGATTAGATTTACCAGTTAACATTTGTCTAATCAATATCCATATCCGTATAATTCGACTAGTTTAGTTCAGCCAAAAAGACTAACAATTTTGTGACACGAGGTGAGGCATCAGAATTGCATTCTAGCCATTCCCATGAAAATGAAGATGGAAGACAAGGGTCGCCACTCCATTTCTGAAGAACTTTAAACTCCCTCTGCAGTGCTGCCAATCTTTTCACTGCAAAACCAAAACTATTTCAGAATGACAGATGATGACACTAACAAATATAATACCTACTGAGTTTGGACTAAAATAGAAGTCAAACCATCATCACTGTTAGTTCCATCTGTAAGTGCACCACTAACAGTGTAGACTTCGTAGGCATTAAGCAGAGGAGGAAGATTGGAACTCTTGGCTGCAAAAACAGCCAGAATTGTGTTTGAATTCGCAGTCATGTTTGTGATGTGCAGCTCTGATACAGATCCAAAAGGAGGGACGACTAGTTGTGAATAAGGAACTATGTTTTTGTAAACTTGAACAGATCTTGTTTGGTTGGGAAGAAGGCGAGTGATTTCAGAGAAGTAGGCTGTGATATATACAGATTCACCGTTGGTAGGAAGGTCTGTGTTAAGAACAATGCCCCTTGAAGTTCCTGTGGTTTTGATTGCAGTTCGAAGAACAGTAAGAGGTGGTTGATTTTCTGCTTTGCTGGTGTCAATCGATGGAGCTTTGTTTACCACATTGTCCACAGAAAAGAACCCACCTTGTGCTCTCCAAATCCGATCATAAGCATCATATGGATACCTATCAGTTTTCAAGAGATGTTTTGTCAAGGTTTCAAACATGAAAAAACCTTATATCTGCCTAAGTTCTTTTAATATAAGGAAAAGTTGGTATAATTTTAAGATAAGGAGCATAAGAATATACCTAGTGCTGAAATTTGCACCAGCATTGACTCTGTTAGACAGGAACAGAGCACGCCCAGAATCAACATGACTGTACATGCTCATCTCTAAGCTTCGAATCTCCAACCCAGAAATGAAAGGAACCTGATCCTTAAATATCTGGGCAACACAAACACTGGTCGTGTTCTTCTTGTTAACATAAATGGCCTCATGATACACACCTCTCACACCCGTAGTGTTTACAGTGGCCCAGAAATTGCCGTCAAAGTGAAGGTCAAAGGTGGGAGGAGAGTTTTTGCCGTCGTAGTTTCCATAGAAGAAGCTTGCTCGAACCAGAAGCTTCTGTCCCTTAACGACGTTGACGGTGTAGCAGTTCTTCTTGAGGGTAGGGAAAGCTCTGAGGGTGGACATGGCAGTTCGGCTCATGTACCGAGGCACCGGGTCGGTGTATTGAACGACGTGGGAGTCTCCGTTTTGAACGTAAGAATAAACATCGGGGAGCCATAGGAAGACGCCGTCGGCGAAGGTAGAGTTTGAACCACAGTCGATGTTGACGAAGGTAGGGGATGATGAGAGAGAGGGAGATAGGGCTGCGAGAAGGAGAGTTAGAAAGAGGATGAAGACGATGGCCATTGTTGGTGTGGCTGTATGGCTTACATGCTCCTGCGGACGATGCTGCGTGTTTATACACACACGCGCACACACACATACATACATATACATATACATATACATATATATATATATATATATAAGTTGATATTAATTTCACAGGTATGTATGCATCCTTTTTCTTAATGAATTGTACGGAGTGGCTTTATAAATTATATTTATATATTTATTATTTTAGTATATTACGAGGTTGTTGCTTGCGAAGACCACCTAAGGCGAAGATGGGAGACCTAGGAATATTGCTTATGTTCTCTTCAATATTTTTAAAAGTGGTTATAAAAAAAAGTATATTAGATTTGGATAACTTAAATTGCAAAAAAATAAAGTTAGAAAATACTTGTGTGTGTATATTCTTCTTAAATATATTTTCATTAAAATATTTTCACAAAAAAAAAGAGGTTTGAAAAATATATATTAAACATACAAATGGCAGTGTTGCTGCAAAAACAAGTAATCACAACGAGGTTTAAGGTAGTAGTTGACTGAATATATGATCTAAATTATAAAGACTCAACAACGGCACGAATTATGCTGATTTTGATGAAATCCAGCTACTATAACGTGCGAAGAGCTGGCTTAATCCAACCAAGTTGTTCATCGTTTGATCATTTCATGCATATGGGGAATCTTGAAGTAAGCCAGTGTTGAATTTGAATAGAAAGCGAGCTACTTTTGAAGATCAACAATAATTGCAAAATTAAGTTATTATTATTAATATCAATTAAGAAGAGATAAATCTAAGAGTCCGTTTGGTATGAGGGAAAATGAGAGGAGGGGAGGGGAGAAAAAATTTTAATGAACTTGATTTAAAAAATTGAAAAAGTGAGGTTAAGAGCTTTTAATTAATTTTTATTTTTTTATATTACTTCTTCTTTTTATTAAAATTTCAAAACCTCACTTCTCTAATTTTTTAAATAGAGCTCATTAAAATTTTTCTTCCCCTCCATTTTCCTCATACCAAACAGTACCTAAATATACAACTAGTCTATGAGCTTGTATAGAAATAACTTTTTTAGTTGTGACTTATGGAATAACACGATAAGTATGTAAATTTTGAGAAAAGTTTTGTCTCAACCTATATGAACGTACTTATAAGTGCTTATAGATTGCAGCTCCAAATAAGCTCTATATAATATGAGACTTCAACTCCTGTAATTGGTTTTTTGATTACCCTCAATTCATTAGATTCCACCAAAACTAGGGTCTGGATTTTTTTCTTCTTCTTTTGTGCCGTGTCAGAATCCCATCTAAAAGATGAAGCAAAAAATAAAAGTTCATACTCCGCTGGTCCTAAATGTAAAACCCTTATACTAATGTGTATAAAGATTTTATATTTAGAACCGGAGGAATACTTAATATTTTGTAAAAATAAATAAATTTAAATAGTTAAAAATTCACATGCACAAAAATTTAAAAAATAATTTATAAAACATTATAGTAATAATTTAGGTGAAGTTAGGGTATCTCCAAGTCGCATTGGACTTGATACTAATCCTTTCCAGGTTGGGAGCAGTTAAGGAATATCCCTCCCAACAAATGCACTTCCCAGTAAAAGCCAGATGCTTCATGAATGAGGTTGTTTATGGTTTGGGATGGTTAAAATGGTTTTGTCTTTAAGTTTATAGCTTACAAACTAAAGTTTGTGAATTTTAGAGAAGGTTAATATGCTCTTTAGTCTCTCAAATTTATCCTCATTTTGGTTTTGGTTCGTTAAGTTTCAAACTATAGGTTTTGGTCTCTTGATGGATAAAATGGTCCAAGTTTTTAGTAAATTATAGAGACCAATGTTTTAAATGAAAAAAATTTAAGGAATCATAATCTATGGTTTAAAATTTAAATGATCAAAAACCAAAATAGGGAGAAACATAAAAGAGTAAAAATTATGTTAGCCGTATTAGAGAAACAACTTTTAAGAATGCAAGCCATTCTGCATGGAAATGAGCTCTTGACTCCTTTGAAATCACAAATGAAAAAGAAAACATAAATCAAATGGCCTTGCTAATTGCTATTGCTACCTCAGCACAAATTTTGAGTAAAACATGGCTCATAACATGACCATGAGCATATAGAAGCCATATTTGTCCCAACGAATCGAAAAGAAGAAAAACTTTTCCTCGGCATTATTTTATCGAATACCTTTTTTGACCAGGGTTTTATCCAATACCTGGTGGGCATGGTTTAAATAACATACTCTTATAGCCGCTTTGCTTCTACAATCAACCAAAATTAGCAGCCACCGTCGATTTTAACATCAATAAGAGCACAAAAATTTGACACTCAATTCCTAAGTCAAGGTTTTCCAAGCCTTCCATGTAGTTCCACTCCTATGCATGAAACATGAAAAATGGCATTCAAAAGGAAACGAGCAAAGCTGCAAAATAATAAAGAGAGCATAAGAAAGTAGAAAATTGTCACGGAGAGCTCCGTATTTTTCCGATACTATCACCAGGATGCTTTTCCATGGCTTTGGTTTGGATTTTTTATTTCTAGAGGCTTGCAGACTGAGAAAAGAGGTAAGAATGGTTGTTACCAAAGACCCCAAAACCCCTCACTATTGTCCACAATTTTCGAAACCTCCACAGGAAAATAAAAAGATAAGCAGAACCCAGATCTTATGCTCAGTTATCAGATCAAAAAGTACAGACGAAATAAAGCAGAAAAACTCTCATCATGAGGAACATAGAATTCTCTGGTTTTATGCTTACCCCCGCGGCCGCCGTCAAGAAGGGATACAACCTTTTGGAGACGTCTTCTGCGCTTTATGCAAACCTCTGTCGCCGTCGTGGCCTCTGCTACTGGGATTAGGCTCAGTCGCCGTCCCCTGTTTGCTCTCACGTCTTCTCTGTCATCAGGCCTCTGTTATTCCCCGGCGCCTTCTTCCTCCTTTTACCGAAGGATAATTTCGTCATTTCCGAAACATATATATATTACCTTGATCCTAATTATAAGACCTTATTTGTAGATAATAAATAAAGTTTTATAATCAAAATTGGAGAATTGGAGATAGTATTTGAAAAAATGATAGAAACATACCTGTTGAATTCTAAAAAAATAAATAGGTTAAACTGACTATTTTTATCATTTTTATCTGTCAAAATCACCTAATTATCGTTTTAAGATTTATGAGGTATTTTTTTTGTCATTCTGCCTGTATATTTCAACTGAGGGGCGAGGTGAGGGCATTGCCGATTTGAAGTACTTTTACACAATTAACTTTTTGGATGGGCCCTTTCAAGCAAATTTCCCTTGCGATTATGAAAGTTGTGATTGTTGTCCAACTCCGCCATATCACGTATTGTGTCACCAAAAGACAGAATTTTAAGTATTAATTAAAATTACGAGACTTGTTAGCTGTTATATAAGGTTTAAGTTTAATTTGTTAACTTTTGTGGGCAAAAGAAAAAAGTTTGTTAACTTTTATTAGAAAAATTAATGTCTTCTTACTTAAATTTTTAAAATTTGTTTTTATTTTCATACTAAACGTTTAAAAAAAAAATTAAATGTTATTACGTACATATAGTGTCCAAGATATATCTATCTATCTATATGAAATGTTACAAAATAAGCACACATCAAGCGATTCTGTAGTTTCCTCAAGTCATCATATAAAAAAACTAGGCAAATTAAAATGAAGATAAATGCATAGAGATCCTCTTTATTAGATCCCCCTTAGGGTGTTTCTATGGGCCTTTGATCATGATACTAATCACTACATGTATAATACTGTTCTGAATCTTAATGTAAAACTTATTTAACTAATATAAGTATATTAAAAAAAGTTAAATAAGTTATTTAATTATAATAAATATGATATGCTTTTTCTAAAACATGCTATTCATCTTCTTAAACATCCTTCCTCCCTTTCGTATTTGATTATTATTTATGAAGTATCAATAGGGGTGATTTGAAAAAATTTAATCATTATTAAAAATAGATCTTATATTCAGAAGCAAAATCAACTTAACAATTATATCTTATATTAAGGAGTAAAAGAGTATTAGATTCGTATAACTAAGTTATTTGAGATAGCAATACAAATATAATACTCCCTCCAGTCCTAAATATAAGACTCATTTTGTAGTGTAAATTACACGATAAAATGGGTCTTATATTTAAGACCGAAGAAGTACTACATCCTATTCTAAATATAGAAGCCGGTTTGTTTTTGTTCTAAATATAAATTTCAATTTACCTTGTGTTCTAAATTTATAATTTTGTTCCTCAACTTATTCATATTAATTAATTGCATGTAATCAGAACATTATTTTCATCAAGAGACAATTATTAAGTTATCATAACATAATGTATATATGATTTAAAAAAGACACACGTGTATTTGTTATAAATAATTAACTTAACTTTTTTTTAAATATTTGTAAATTAGTTACCAGCACTTAAAGGAACAATATATTGTGCTTGTTTTGTAAGACATTTGAGGGAGGAAAAAGTAGCTTATAGATGTAATAAGTTTATAAATTTGGGAGATGTTTGTCACAGCTTTTGGTCAATCTGACTTATAGATCAAAAGTTATTTTTTTAAGTAAGATTGCAAAAAGCAGTTTTTTAAAATTAAAAGATATTTTTGCCCTTATATTTATGTTGTTCTTATATTTCTTTCTATATATTTCTTGTGCTTCCCAATCAGTTTTTAGTTATTTATTTTTAATATTATCTAAAGTAAAAATAATTTTTAACAGTTTTTATAATATTTTTAATTTTTAATATTTTTTTAATTTTATGTTTACATAAATTATGCAGAGTATATCATCCAATTAATTATGTAATATTATTTGGTTCAAAAATTTTCACATTACCATGATTTCTAATTTAAATATATTTTATTCATTAAATCTAACTTCTTCCTATCATAGTAATTTAAAATTATTATATTTTGTAAATTCATTTTTTAATTATTTTTTTATTACTTAATAAAAGTTATACTCATTTTGGTCATTTTACAAACTAAACTTACCTATTCAAGTATAGTCCAAATAGTTGTTTTACTTTATAAACTAACTTTTATAAAAATCAATCTAAATATAAATTACATTACTCAATTTAACTTTTACTCAATCTTATTTCTGTAAAAGTCAAATTGAAAACAAATTACTTTTTCTATGACCAATTCAATTCAAATGGAGGGATTGTGTAGTCTCATGAACCTAAAAGAGGTGCCTTGAAAAAATCAGCATGGACCAAGCTAGCTAGTAATCAGTTAGGAACACATAAACACTAATATCCATTTAAAATTCAACGTCACTAAGAAAGTCATGATGATCAAGGGGAAGAAATTAAAGAAGAAATTTAATGAATGAATGAAACATTATTTCGACCCATAATCATGGATCGGGAAAAAAAGAAAAAAGAACATGGATCATATCAAAACAAAAGGGCATAGTTATTTACGAGTCGTTACATCGATCATATGACTCAATGTCGGCTGCCACAGGTTACGTCACACTCCCCCAATTTGGTCCATAAATGACATTATTAATTAGAGAGACTAATCTATTTGGGGTGGTTAAAGATGTTGCAAAACGACTAGGAATCACAATCTTCAAGGATTATATATATATATATATATATATATATATTTCTATATATTAATCTCACTCGATGATCAGTAGTTAGATTATTTAATTTGATCCCTCCACCATCATGCCCACTCTGAAATTTATAGTTGAAAGTATAAATATATTATAGCACATGGTAATCAACATCAACATGAATAAATGTGTATTGTGATGACCATGCTGTATAACCTTGCCATAACTATTCGTCACTACTCAGATTTTTTTGAATTGGAAAAATTGTTCGCACTACTCGACGTATATTATTATTTCCCATTATATGTGGATTCATTTGAATTTGACACGTCATGAACTCATAATATTATTTTGAGGAAAAAAAAAGGATGTATTGTCAAAAACTGCATACTCGGCTTCGTTCATAAAGGGCAAACAAATATAATTTAAAGCATCATCAACATGTCAAAATATGAAAAAGTAGGTGACGCGTTTCTAAGAAAATATATCTCAGATATTTCTTAAAGGAGAATACAAATTCAATTTTGATTTCCCAAGCCTTTTGAAACGTAGTATCTATACAATCACATACGTACGGTCACATGAAAAATGACATGAAAGAATGTGACTTTAATTTGTAAGGTTCACATGTTAATTTTACACTCATAATCCTTCCCCTCCTCCTGATTGATAGATTCTTCTCTTCCGATCCAATATGCGTCTTGGGAAACATGTTTGGTCTTATTAGTCAAAACATAATTTTGATCAAGATAATAAATATACAAGAGTCCCTTTAGCTCAAATTACAAAAAATTCATATCTAATGGGTTTCCAAACATATTACTCCATTTGATTTTAAATGTAAGAGCTAGCTAGATAACTAGCTAATTTATAGATATTAAGAAAATTTTAAGTTAATTATTTGTAAAATATGTGTATTGATTTTTTTTTAAGTATCCATTTTAATTATCAACATCGAAAATTACTCCCCTAATAGAAAAACTTATTAATATGTGTAATCAGGATAAAAAAAATTTTAAAAAAAAAACCAAAGTGGATTGGTGTTTTACATTTAAAACCAATACAAATATCTTTACTAGCTCTTACATCTAGGATTGGAAAGAGTACTAAATACTACTCTGTGGTCCTAAATGTAACAGTTATTTTATAGTGTAATTTATACTATAAAATAAATTTTATATTTAAGACCGGAAAAGTACTTTTGATCTTTAATATAAGAGTTACTTCCTCTGATTCAAAATATAAGCTAAACTTTGTTGGAGGGTTTGATTTTTTTTATAAGATTCACTTTTGTCTAAACATTTAATGAGTTTTTTTCAATTTTATTTCCATATATTCTCTTTCCTCTTTAATTCATTTATTGTATTTTTTACTTATTCTCTTCATTAATAAGGGCATGTTTGAGGAAAAAAATACATGCATTACATAATTATTGTTTTAAACTTATTTTAACTAGTTTTTTTATAAGTGTAGGTGGATAAAGTTTAGCTTATATTTTGAACCAGAGAGAGTACTTAACTAATTTAGGTAGATTAAAAGTTAATTATTTATAAACAAATATAAGTTGATTTTTTTAAAGTACTAGTTTTAAATCATGACTACCTTTGGATGGAAACTCTCTTGATATGTGTAATCAATAGAGATGCTTTAGAGTAATGAAGTATAAATTTGGAAAACAATAATAGATTGAGGTTTTATATTTAGAATAAAATTCAACCCTAATTAGCTTGTATATTAAAGACTGATAGCATATCTTATTGAAGCCATTTTATATTCAATCTCAAATCGACCCCCTAGAAAAGGGAAAAACCGAAGTGTGTTGTATGTATATATGCATACTGTGTACATTCATGTGTAGAGCTGGTAATATGAGTTGAACCCATGAGTCTCACCCGCCAACCCACCAAAAATGACGGGTTAGGGTTGGCTAAAAGTTAACCTGCCAGCAAACAAATTTTTAACCCACACCGCCTAACTCACAACTTGTCATGGGTTAACTCGCTAGCCTGCAGGCTAATCTGTATTTTTTTGTATTTTTAAATTTTATTAATTATTATTATTATATTATTATATTTTACATCCTATCTAAAAAATTAAGAGAAAAATCGATATCATTTATTTGGTATCTTCAATCAAGTATTTGAAGGAAAAATAAAAATTTCATTATATTTTCTTTATATTGTACAAGGAAAAAGTATTTAAAATCAATCCGCAGCGCTTAACTCTAGCTGATCACGGGTTATTACCACTCCTATTCATGTGTGTGTATGTTCCAGAGCTACACTTCACTAAGCCATATAGAATCATTGTTCATGCCAATACCAAAAGAATTGCTACATTCCTTCAGTTTAACTCTCATACAATATCTTGACAAATAGAGCTTTCCTTAACCATATTTCTTTTTACAAGTGTGTATATATCTCCTTAAATACATCATTCTTCCTGTCAAAGCGTATATATGGACCTAATTAAAGGTGAGTAGTCTTGGTCTAGTCAGGCTTAAACTTGTTACAAGATATGTATAAATTGCATCATCAATTCTTCTTGTGCATGCGAACGATCGAAGAAACATATGTTAGCTAGGAGGTTTCATTAACAGACAAAAAATCGATAAACCGAGCACCATCACCACCATCGTCTTTGTTCTGTCTCCCTCCCACAATATTATGATGTTCACTATCTTGATTCACTTCCTCGTCCTCTCTTCTCGCATTGTCTGTCACCTCGCTTCTATTATTCGAATCAGTGTTCACTTGAAGAAAGTCGTAGAACTCAACTGATTCACTTTTATCTGCAACACTCAACAATAAGAAACTCCATTATTAGACCTCAGAATTAATTATACTACAGACAGACTTGTGTGTGTTTCCTGCTTCTCTTCCAAATGACAGTCATATCAACATTAATTAGATGTTAATACCAGAGTCCTGCGTTGTTAATTAACTAGAGATATATCCATCATTAGATGAGCATATAAACCCCATAATTAACGGAAAGATGTGTAATACTACCTCTTATCTTATTTACAAGACATCGTTTGTAATTTGTAGACTACAAAAGAGATCTTATAATTAGGATGGAAATAGTAGCTTAATTTGCAGCATACTGATTGATTACTTGACCACGACATATCCAAATTCATACTGAAGAGTAATAATTAACAGCTTATAATTACCATGAAGAATCGATGAACAGCAAGATGGACGTTGAAGTTGATGATGAAACTTGTTGGGGAATTGAAGGAAAGGGTTATAAGGGAGAGAATAAGCTGGGAAAACATTCTTGTCATAGTATTTCTGAACAAAAGCAGGAACAAGAATAGGACTAGTCGTCGTCTTTGTATGATGATCATAGTTTGTTCGACGATCCTGATGATCAGGAGCAGGATCCGATGATGTTACTGTAGTGAGGTGATGATGATGAGGGCGTTGCTTGGCATAAAGCTTGGACCTTTCTCTGCGAATCCTGGCCATCATGACGTGCCAGTGATTCTTGACAGCATTATCAGTTCGTCCTGGAAAAAGCCTCGCAATCACAGCCCATCTGTTTCCATGGATCCTGTGAGAAGCAATCAGCCTCTCTTCTTCTTCCTCAGTGAATGGAGTCCTGTTTATTCTCGGGTCCAGTTGATTGAACCACCTGAGCCTGCAACTCTTCCCTGTAACATATCCATGTTAGCCTCCTCAAGAAAGAAAAGAGAAACCAGAACCAAACTCATAGTCCACTATGTTCTGGATATCCTTAATTATAATCACTGTACATACACATACATGAACCTTAATTAACAAGTTCTCATTTAGTTTTCGTCGATTCAGTTCAATGACCTGCTAGGAGATACATGTAGTTAATTAAGTGGTCTATGATTGTGGGTTTGATAGTAATTAATTAAGAAGACAATAACTATATGTATATAGAAGGAGATGAGATGATCGGCGTGTGTATTTATTCACCTGATCTTCCTCGAAGCTTTTCAGCTATGGCGTTCCAGTTATGAGGTCCATAACGCTCCACCAACTCTCGAAGTTTCTCATCCTCGGCTGGCCTCCAATGGCCTCTACTACACATGTTATCTCCTCCCTAACTAGCTAGAAACAAATTAAGACCAAAACAAAATCAATCAAACCCTAATGCGTGATTAGGGTTTGGATATCTAATTTTGTCTTCTTCTTCCTCTTGTGCAGAAATCGATCTCCCTCTCTGCTAGCTAAAAACTCTGCAAGTGATCAAGCCAGAGAGAGAGAAGCAAGAACGAAGAACGAAGACGAAAGAGAGAGGGAGAGATTATATGGTGGGGAAGTGTTTTCCGTTAGAGAGTGGGAGAGTTTGGACAGACCTTGCACCTGCGATTGATGCAAACGTTTTGGCTAACAAACTTCTATATAAGTAACACTTATATATATATATATATATATATATAGATATAGATATACACAGAGAGAGAGAGAGACAGAGAGATATATATTAATATGGGTTTATAGAGAAGAGATAGGAAAAGAAAAATAATAAAGCAGAAAAAGAAAAAGAAAGAAAAGAGAGGTTGCTTAGTGGAGCGAGCTAGTTTGGTTCTGCTTTCAACGTCTTTAATTTCCAAGTTTCTAACCTACAACGTCTACTTATAACCCACCAAGGCCTCAGTCCACCATTTTTCCATTTTTTATTGTATACTATGCATTCCCCTAATCACATTACATTGAAACTATATCTTCTTCTTCTTGTTTTGTTTTTTTTTTTTCTGCAGACACGTGACATCAACATGTATATATATAACGTATACGACTTTGCTTCCCTTCATTATTACTGTCATATATATTCTTATAGTTATTACTCCATTGTTTCTTGTTATGTGAGAATATAAAAGTCCATTTGACGTCCAAAATCTTGCTCAAGTCCCAACTTTCTCTTAGGGTAACGTCATTTGGTGGCTAATTAAGCTGCACGTTTATGTATATACCTATATGATCAACCGGTTGCTTTAACAAATTATAGATATGTATATGTGTATATGTAAATAGAATATTAAAAAAAATTGAACATATGTAGTACCTTTATTTGATTTATGCTTATTTGCATGCGTTGCGTTATAAATTTAAATGGATAAACAAAAAGCGACACTAAAATATTGTTGGCAATTCAGTGTTTTAAAATCAAAATGTAATTCCTTTTAATTAAACAATATAAAAACGAGTTACAATTTTTTTGGTACAGAAACAAGTCACAATTATTATTTTTCTGAATTTAATCATCACTTATTTCTCTGTAAATCTATAAATTTTTCTTCTCTATATTATACTGCGTATACATGTATATATTTTTGAATTTATTATCTATATATCTCAAAGACCAAATTATACATGTAACTTCAAGAAGCACCAACAGTAATAATTAACTTATGTTTATAGATGTTGATAAGGATTTAAATTTTAAAATATGATCTCTATCAATAACACGAGTCTCGTGGAATTAATTTATTATTAGGTAATATGTAAATAATAATAATAATAATAATAATGAAAGATAGATAGATATGTGGGGTTTGGTAATGTTGTTAGACAATATATTTGGAAGGGGAGAAGGATGTTTTAATTAGGTTTCGATCAGCTTTCAGGCGTAACTAACATTACATTTTATCTTACAAACTTCACAACGGCACGTGGATAGACTACAAACTACCACCTTTTTGACTCCTACATTATTTTTTGTCCCTTTTCCCTCTTTTCTTACCATTATGCCCCTCTTTCTCTTTTCGTTTTTCATTTCGGGGCAATCCATGTAGATTATTGCTCACTAGTCATGTCTCAAATTCTTTGGTATTATGGACAAAACTAATCTACAACTTTTGGATCAACATTTATAATTGATATGCTTCTTATTAATTAATTCATTAATTCCATGCATCTAACATCTATCGACACAACCAAAAAAAAAATCCATTCATTCAAAAAGAAGGTTAATTTGGAAAAAAATATTATGAAAAATCCTCCATTGAAATATTAAACTTGTCTAAAAATCTAGATATATATTCTTTTATTTTATTTATAAGTCGCTTTTAACGTATTTCACACAAATCAAAAAAATTCTCAAAACTCATTAATTCTGCTTTAAAATTTAACAATTTCAAGTGATTTAAATAGGACAAAAATAAAACATCTTTCTCTACCTTATAAATAGGATTAGAAAAATATTGCACCTTCTGAAAATGAATTACATCAGCGCAATTCAACTCATTTTAAGAAAAAAGCTTCTCATATAAAGACTTCTTTTTAACGATTTTTCTAATTAATTTCAAGTATATCAAGTTATGTATGGGGATATGTATATATGCACCTAGGCTTGATATAAGTGGTTGAGACCCGTGAGTGGGTAGATATAAACAGATGGGTTCATTTGCTTTTCAATACGGCAATTAATTAGATATTTAGAAAGGATTAAATGTTATGTTATTAGTGTGAAACTTGTTTTAATTAATTAATTAAAGTTGTTAGTTAGAGATTTGCAATTTAAAGGTGTCAAATAATGAGTCAATATTCAACGCTCACGTCCATGACCGGTATCCAAATGCGCACACAAAAATTCTTGGTTTGAAATAATAATGAAGTAATCTAGTTTCACATTAAATATGATGAGGTCATATAAGCATATATGTCAAAACTTATGTATTATACACAATGATATCTTTTAAAGAAAACTAATTATTTTCATGTGAAAGATAATCTTGATCTGAATGAATGACATGTATATATAACCTAACCAAAGAAAATAGAAACCACAATCCAATTATTTTAATATGACCAATATGATTAGCAAGATGATAAAGTAGGGGTATAGACTACTTGTTTTAATTTGGAAGAAGGAGTCAAGGAGCTTACTTGTGTATTTAAATTTACACCCTACACGATTTTTTCCTTTTATGTTCTAATTACAAGTATTTAAAATTTAACCCTTTACTCTCACATGCAACTTATTCTACTTTTACCACTTAAACTAATTAACCTTATGATTTACGTTGATCTTTTATTAATTACCAGCTAAGACTAAATGTTAATTTGTGAGGAATGAGACTTAGTCAAATTAATGTTAAGGTGAGATAATTAAGCCATAAAGAATAATTAGTCCAATAATTCTTATATGTAATCATCAAGTAAAGATTGATGACTCAAGTAACAAAAGATGGATGTAATTAATAAGAAGACGTGAATCCAACATAATAACAACCACCATGAGCGCCATTCACAGAGACAAACAGCAACTTTTCAACTTACTTGCTTTATATATCTTTTCTTCTTAATTCAATATTTTATGTATTTTGTTTATCATTTTCAATCTGCTTACTGCAATCTAATTTCAGTCAAGTTATATGTATTTTTTTTAAAAAATTAATTTCTTTATCAATTCCAAACTTTGTACAATTCAGTGTAATGTTCACTTACTTTTATCAATTGCAGATTTCTCCTCTTGCAACCATTACACACCTTCCAATCTTAGTATCAATTATACTCATATCTCATTTTGGCTTCATAAAAAATGGTAACGAAATTTGATCTTTCAAGGATAAAGATATAATCTCATCTCATCAAATTTTCAACCGTTCTTAATTGGGAAAAAATCACATTACAAGTTAAAACATGCATTTATTTAAACCCCAAAACAAATTACAAGATAGTGTATTATCGTTCGAAGAAATTAAAAGATCTCAAAAATTAAGAATTGATATTATTGGCCTTGTAAGATTACCAACCTGAGTTGAAATAAATAATTTTCATTGAAAAATAACACATCAAGGGTTAAAATAAAAAGAAAATTACTATAAGATACCAAAAAAGTACAATAACAAAAAAAAAAACAAATGAACTGCATAAACTTGTTGTCTTTTTTTTTTTTTAATATCAAAACTTGTCGTTATACACTAGTCACTTATTTTGTGATTGTATTCTTTAATTTCTTGAAATGTCATAATGATTTTCTTTAAAACAAATATATTCAAGACAGCTCATCTCATATCTACCTTCCAAGTTTTGGATCATTTATTATTTGTTTTCAGCACATAGGTCTTCTTTTATTAGAGTAAATCATGTTTAATATAATGTATTGTCGAGCACTAAATATAAACTTATTTTTTCATGAGAATTTGAACATTAATTGACTATGATAAGAGACATATAGAACTCTTTTCATTAGATTCAACCTCTATTGATTTTATATGTGCATTAATGATTTAATTTTAATATTAACTTGTTGATTATCGAGAAAAAATAAAATTTACAATAAAAATCAAGAAAAATATCCACTACAGATTAATTTTATGATAGATGGTTCAGCCGCAAATAAAGGCACAACAATTTTCCCTAATGGATTAACTCTTTTACAAATGGTATGCTTTTTTTTTTTTGCAACATGTTTTTAATAATATGTAGATGTAAATATGTGGATAAGACATTATTAGATCCCATCGTGCATTAATTGTATGATATCGAATTAATGAATATGTTGTACAACTCTTAAATAATACAGATCTGTTAAATGTTTAAAATTGGACTGTTTGATATCTGATGAGATCCTGAGAAGCTATCCCAAAACTAGTGTTTCTTGTTCTTCTTGTTTCTTACGTGTTAAGAGCAACACCAAATCTAATTATTTTTCGAACAATAATTTTGCGGACTCCTGAAACGACATAACGTTAAGTTTTCCCCTTTATATTCCGACGAGTCGTTTTGAAGGGAGGACGTGGCTACCACGGTTTTAAGCAAACTTTTGCATCATCGTATTATTGTTAGTCCACCAAAATCAGCACCAAGCATCTAATCGCGAAACTATGAAAATGATTTTTCAATTGTAACGAGTAATAATTTTAAGCATGTTGGATATTAAAGTTCCCTCTATCGAGCATGATTAATGCTCAAGTTAATTACTTTGACGTATAGTAATTTTACTTCACATGCATATTAAAAAAAAAAAAAGCATTTCACAGCCCCACAAAATCAATCATTATATAATTTTTTAAGGATATCATTGTCTTGTACTCCCCGGTCCTAATTTAAGACCCAATTGACTTATTGAGGAGATTAAGGAAGTAAGTTAAGTTGGTTATTATAATAAATAAGTGTTGTTATTCCTAAATATTCTTGCTAATTAAGTATATTGGCTAAAACTATCATTATTAGAAGGATTATCTTGGAAAAAAATGCATAAATATAAGAGAGAAAATGGATTGGGTCTTATAATTAGACCAAATAAAAAGTCAATTGGGTCTTATAATAAAGACCGGAGGAGTATTTCTTAATAAATTTGGCCCGTATGCTTTGTTTATCCATGTTAATTTTTTTAAAATGCTTATTCTATTGATAATTGTAATTTATCCCATCAATCAACCTCACCCTTATAATAAGCCAACAAAAGTGAGTTCAGTTAGTAAAAAATCAGCTCATAATTTGCAAAGTTATAAGTTCATATCCCGCTGTTGATATAAAAAAAAGCTCTAATTTTATTAAGCTCTCAAAATCCAACTCACCTAATTCTCTTGGAAAAAAAAATTCACCCTCATAATATGACTTTTTTAATTAAATATAATATTACATAAGCCAAAGTCTAGATAGCCTACGACATACCCATGCAACATATAAACATTATCCATCTCCAATTTATCAGGTTTAAATTGCATTTCATTTTTTAATACTTTTTTATTTAAAAACTATAACGCAAATAATAATTAAAAAAAAGAAGCTTTTAATTGTCAATTTATCCGGACACAATCTACACAGCAAGAGAATATAATGCAGTTGATTGTTTTTTGTTTAATCCTTTTTGCATAGATTAATAATTGTTTGAAACTTTCTCAGCCCATAACCTATTATATATTATTGTCCGGAAAACAAATATTGATGTTCTCCTGCCTGATTATGGAAGTTTAAACTTGCATGTTAGTCGCTCAGAATCGGTTAGAAAGTACATAATGATGTTACACAAGAAAGAATGTGTTAATAACTACTTTTTCGCTGATTACTACAAGCGAGCGACTATAATATTAATTTACATTGATTAATTCGCTTCTAATAAAATTTGTTAGTCCTGATTGGTTTACTACCTGGGTGAAGCATGCTAAAGATTCTCTGAAAAACTACTACTTAACCAGTCTCTTTTCTTTAAAGCCAGCCTTTACATGTAAGACGTCAATGCCTGCACCAAATGAGGGGAAAAAAATGTTAAAGTACACGTTTTATTACTTGTAACACCAACAAGCATCACTTGTAAAAGATGCAATTGCTTATTGTAAATTTTTTTTCCCTGGGTATGATATATAATAAAATAATAAAATATTTTGATAGCCATAACTGATCCAAAATGACTTGCGGGGTTAGTAAACAATAAATATTCCGTTATATTTGATGTGTGAAATAGTCTTTATATTGACTGTTGGCCTACCCTTGCTCCTAATTGCAGAAATTGCTTGTTTAAAAAGTGAGGGAAATCTCTCACCCACCATCTGTCTAAAGATTGGTAACTGTCGCTGCAGCCGTTTCTTCATTTGTTAACAAACACCCCCCGGGGGGGGGGGGGGGGATTATCTTAATCTCTGCATTGGTCCTGGATTGCAACGAATTAAAGGGGCAGAAGAAGTCAAGAGTATCCGACCTGAAACAGAGAGGCAAGGCATTTAGCAAATATGTACTCTGCTATTATGGGGTCGTAAGAAATCTGACAAATCCTAAAAATGGAAGGTATAACTAAATTTTTCCTAATACATCTTTTGATGTAATAATTACTAAGACCAGTATCAGCATCCCTCAGAGATAGATATAAAAGTCTCAACTTTCATATACAGAGTGCTACCTTGACTGTTCATCTGATTTACCTCTTTTCTTATAGTTATTAGCAATTTTACTGTTGCCTAGAATTAGTTTTGGTAGCACCAGAACTTCAATTTTCTTGTACTTGCATGCGCTTTTTTTTTCCCACGTTGTACTTGAATATGCTTGCAAAATATTATAGGAGTTTTTGTCCTGTTGGTCTCTCCTAACCAGGAAGATAACTCGTCAACAAACATAACAACCAAATGTGCAGCCTCTCCTTCCAACCAATTAACAAGCAGGAAAGCTTGGTCAATGGAGACTGCGTTACTTAAACGAGGAAGCTTCAACAGAAATGTTATTGCCAATCTATCAGCCAATTATTCTGCGCTCTACCCATTATATTTCTCATCCAATTTTTCGACTAATCCAGATTAGGTTGATCGTTGGACGACATTGCTCTTGTTGGAGAGAAAAGTTTGACAGACTCGCAACTCATATTAAGCTTATAGATGACATGACTAGCAAGAAGAGAATCCCAAAACTTCCTTTTTACTTAAGAAATTTTGATTACAGAAAATATTTACGTAATAAATCTTAATTACAGAAATCTTTGAAAGCATTAAAAAGGAAGATTCTAATTGGTTTTAAATCATGGCTGTTGGTTTTTCAGATTCTACTATATTTTATGTTTCAACAATATATGACTTCTCCTCTCAGGTTCCCCTGCTTAGTTCAGATGTTCTGATTTGATGCAGCCACCTATATTAGGAAAAAGTGTTTCTGTTTTTGGAAGTTATATTCACCTCTCAACTGTAAAAACTGCCGAAAACCAACTTTGAAATATTCCAAGAGGTTACTTTTTGATCATGACTTCCCGCCAAGACGAGTACACCTACCTATCATTCCCTAAGTCACTAGTAAGCCTCCATTTTCTACTTCTAATATCTCTACCTATTATTATTACTAGTAGTATTTTTATTTTTCGATCCAGCAATGTCAAGGCTACCATTTTCCCCACCATCTAATTCTAGACTAATTTAGAATTAAATGCTAGTTTAGATTATTCAGTCTTGGATGTGAATACTCAATCAAAAATTAAATCCACAATACTCAATCCACAATTAAATCCACAACTTGGAGTGCAACTCACTTTTATAACTTTATGGGCATTAGGTACAAGACAAAAATGTAGGGGTCATTGTTAAGCAGGGTTGCATTCAGTAGGTCTAATACTGACCCTGATGTAATATAGCACCTTTAAAATTCCTCTTAGAAACTACAAGTTGATTATTTTGGCTGCAAAAGCATGTGCGTTGTTGTCTCTTCTGCATTGATGCCTATGATGATTATTTTAGTCTTTTGCACTTAATCCAAAAGAGAAAAAACGGTAACATCAGAATTTTATAACTGGTACTATCCATCAAAAGTGATGTGAAGGCAATACCTCAATTGGATGAGCATCTACAGTTATCAGCAAGATATCCTTGCATAGATATGCGGCACTCCCTCGATTGTATACAGCGTGTAGTTGAAGAAAACTTTTTTCCTTTGTACAAGTAGTGAAACCTATCAATAGCATGTAGAACATAAACTCCATTAAGACCATATCTTTCGGCTTAAGTGTTCAGTGATGCAATGATCTCATGGCTCGGATGATAGCAACATTTTTGTCACATATAAAGTGGACTGTGGAAAAGCTCATTTCTTTGTAACAACCCCATTTAGAGAATCATACAGAAAGATTCTACAATCTTCAGCATCACTTATTGACTACATCAATATAATAGAGATACAGCCCACTAAATTGTTCCACTTTCATCCTCTAATAATGAATTTCCAAGTTACGAATTCGAACCAAATTATATGCCACGTGTATCCCACAAAACAAGAAATTATTAAATCTTAGCGTGCAATTGAAGGAATATCGCAAGTCGACTATTTCCAGCCGGATAACCTATTCTGATTCACGAATCAGTCAAATTTCAATTATACTAAATACAAAAGAGAGGACAGGCAATGAAATGAGTAGTCACTTATTGTGGAACAACTTCCCAATATCATAATCAGGCCCCAGAAAAGCCCAAATTCATTACATGAACCTTTCACTTCAACCAAATAATGCAACTTTATGACTTACTTGGTATCAGCAACTACATGAATTTGTCTGTTGCACCCATTAAAATATTTAACTTTTGCTTTGTTATCCTAAAATGATGAAAAGGATCCTTTACCATATATACTGTGGCAACCCACCAAAGAACTAATACTAAGTTTTACTTTTTGGCTATAAAAAAGTAAAGAGGCAGCAGTCTGAAAGTATAATCAGCCGATGACAACTACAATAGAATAATTAAGAGTCAGTAATTCAGTAACTTTTCATTTGTGGAAAATGTTATCGCTATGATTTGGTTCTGTTCACAAAGTAATTGTAAAATGCCAACAAACCACATGTGCCACCCAAAAGAAATATAAAAATTATTAGTGGAATATAAGCCAAAGAAGATCAATTGTAAGACATCCTGATAGGCAAACACGTTGGAGCCTTGCAAGCAACCTTGGCCAAAAACAATATACAATAGGATTGGAAAGGATGGTCTCAACTAGAAGCAGTGAGGTCTTCCAAATAAAAATTACTATCCCCCACCTGCGACATTACTCCCATGACCCGTTCCTCCAGTTTGCCCAACCTCATATTGAAAAGGAGAGAGGAGTATAATCCAACACAGAATAGCATATGATTACACATATAGCTGCTGCAAGAACATATGCACCTCTATTGAATTTACATACTACAGACAAGTTGCTCTATTTACAAGTATCTGACTC